CCCCCCCCCCCATTTAAAAATCCTGGCTACGCCACTGGCTGTTAGCTGTTTATCAGATCTAACTTCTAGAATAAACCCTGATATAATTAACATTAAGGAGAAACCGGTGGCATTTTGGGAGGTGTGGCAAGTGAGGCGGTTCCTCAATTAAAAATTTGGTAATAGATGAATGTTTTGTTTAACAAATAACATTAAATTTATTATTTATTTCATTTGTTCAATTTATTAATTGAAGGATAACAAGACAAAATGTGTTATTTCCAAAAAAGTTAATTTTCAGAAAATACATTTTTCTGTTTCACCCATACTTTAGGTGATTTTGTCTTGGTTTTTGATTATTTCGTATGGTTAAATAACCCAACAATTTTATTTTTTCAATTAAATTAAAACTAATATACATTATTAATACAGGGAGTTCCCCTTAATGTGATTAGTGGTTTATAGAATCAACCATTTATTAGAATCAAAAACTAAAATCTCAAACCAAATCGTATATTACTAATGTTAAATTGACTTCATTATAATCACCAAGTACCGGATAATTGAATCAATCAATTTTAGATGAAGATTTATTGACTTCCGGACAGACAAAACTTACTGGCCAAGCTCTCGGATACATAGTATTAAACATTTTAAATCAATTTAGTTTTAATTTAAAATATTGCGTTGGCTTAGAACGGATATATATGTAAGTTACGACTTTAAAAAGCAATGAAGCTGTTACCACAATTTTAAAACAATGTTGTTATTTAGTAAGATGTCCATTAGGGTGGCACACACTTAAATAGGTGATTTGTATTTGTATTTTTTTACTTGTCTGATACTTTAATATTATTTTTTTTTTTTAGTATAAAAATACTTGTTTGAAAGTTTGGTACATATTAATAAATATTTGAAGATCGTTCAAGGCATTTCAATTTTGAATGTTACATATTTTCCTATTTTTATGCTATACATAGATAGAACTAATGTAAGTAATAGAAATACAACATTTCTTTTAACAACTGTTGCTCAATCGATTGGACAACATATTACTGACATTGCTTTGAACAGAGGATATATATGAAGAGATCGATGTCACCGTAGAGAACAAATTCCTGCAAATATAAAACGGTCATTCGATCCATCCGTTTCACTAATAATTCATTGGGATGGAAAAATCTGACGAACTTTAAGAAAAAACAGAACACGTAGATCGTCTTGCTGTTACAGTTTCTGAAAATTAAAATTTAAAATTTTTAAGCGTTCCGTTATTAAGAGGTCCGGGAAAATTAATCTCTAAAGCAGTTCATGATTTAATTAGCAACTGAAAATTTTTGAATCGTATTCAATTTATGTGTTCCGATATAAATGCTAGTAATACAGGACTGATAAGTAGTGCTTGTGTATTACTAGAAAAAAATTAGGACGAAATTTGTTAAAATTGGTTTGTCGGCATCATATTTTTGTGATTGCTGTGGTCAAAATGTTTGATGATTTAATGGGTCTATCAAATGTACCAGATATTGCGCTATTTAAAAAATTATCAAATTTTTGGACCTACATAAATCAAGAGTCATTTGAAAATCGTTTGAAGAGTTCATTTCCATCACCAAAATTAAATTTGGTAAATAATGATATGGTTAAATTTATATTTAATTAATTAACTGAGTTTCAACCTTGTGAAGATTACAAAGAATTATTGTAATTGAGTTTATATAACCTTGAAGAAATGCTTCCAGAAAAGAATGGTTTTCGAAAACTTGGGGCTCGTCATCGAGCTAGCTGGATGGCCAAGATAATATATTATTTTAAAATTTTTTTATTTCTGCTGCAATTTAAATTAAAAGAAACGTAGGTATCAAATTTAGAACATTTTACATTGTTTATAATTAGAATATATTTAAAAGTATGGTATACTACTACAGATGCTTCAGGTGCGCCATTGAATGATTTAAATTTCTTAAAGGATCTGAATAAGTACAGAAATTCAAGTAATGGGATCTATAAATTAGCATTAAAAGTATTTTCAGGACATTTATGATACCTTATTGATAATTTAGAATTCCTTGACTTTCGAGTTTCAAATGATATTAAATTCAAAATGGTAAAAGCTTCAAATAAAACTGGGACTGATAACCTTGAACATAGAATAAAACTCCCAGAAGTTTTTTAACTATTAATTTTGTAAATTCTAACATCGTAGTATTCGAATTATAATTAATATCGAAATTTTTACAAGCCATTAATTGATACAAATCTTATATTCTGATATTACATAAATTACATAAATTTCACTATTGTAACTTACATTCTAATATCTGTTTCGTCTCATCATCTTCATTTTCAGGATCATTCATATTATTTTCAATATTCTCTTTAGTACATCCTGGCTGAGGAGTTTTTCCTCCGTTCGGATAAAATTCAACGTGTCCGGTTGTTCTAGGAAATTTATCGACTTTTGCCGTATGGATCAGATCCACAAATTCCGCATCATCTTTCTTTAATAGTCTTCTTAAATTCATCAATCTTTCCCATGGACTAATAGGCATTGGTCCTTTCGGGTTTAAACCTGCGCGGGGGTAAGGTTGTTGATTTTCGAATAAGTATCCAATATTTTCAATGATAAATAACGTTAATTTTAATTTTATTTTACATAGGTACCTGTGATTCTACCGATTTTCTTTTTCGTCAACTTATAAAAATTAGCTCCACATACACCAAGAACATGAGCACCAAGATTATGTCCTATCATGTGTATATTAGAAGGCATAATAAGCTTCAAAGCGACTAGTTTTGTCAAAAAATAACTTAATGCAAGTCCCGCAGGTTCACATTCACTGGCTACATATAAGAATTTATAGAAATTCGTAAACCAGTCGAAAGTTATGATGTTATACTCATCAAGGTAGTTGGATACGTAAGCTAGGGCAAAGAAAGTTTCAATACTAAGACATACAATACATGATTACCCATTAAAATTTATAAATAATCATTTAATCTTCTTAAATGAAAATCTGTATTATGATATATATTATTTTATTATTTATAACTGCTCGACTACACGGAAATATTGTGATCAATAACCAAACTATGATATCAGGTGATTAGTTACTAAAATTATGTTTTTAATTCCAAACTTATCAATTAAAATAAGACAGAGCCTTGAGCCTTGAGCAACTTGAGCCTAATTATGAAGGTACAAAAATTATATTATGCTTACCGCAGTATTTAATCAACGATAATAAATGTTGCGCATTTATCAGTTATTTTGAGAGTCTTAACTGCAATGAAAGTGCAAAGAAATTCTCAAAGAAAGTAAATACATGTTAAAATCATTTTTACTCAAAATACATTTTTCCATTTTAATCGTGTGCTTCATAATATTTATTATTATTATTAATATTATTATTTACTACAGGTATTGTTCGATTCATAAACATTTCAAATTTATATTTTTCCCGCCGGCGTATTTATGTTGTGTTCGTTGTTTTTTGTGTACGTAACGTTTGGTATCGTGCGTTCG